CTGTACTCTTACCTGAACTGCTTGGGGTCTCGCCTCACTTCGTGCTAGACACTATTGTCAACATCTCGAACAATTCTGTGGAACACTGCGTCGATGCTATAGAAGGATTCCTGACTGGCTGGGCGGAGAAACGCGCGGACAGGCTGAAGGATTCTGGAGGAGACGACTGGGACAGCAAACAAGAAATCGAACAGGGCACCGTTTCGTTTCAGACTCTACTGGAATCGCATATGGATATCGCCCTCGACTTTTTCGAAGTCTGGTGCATGCGGAACATCTTCACGATCCCGGCAGAACTGCCGGTTGTGGTTCCCCATCAGGCAGGGTTGATATTGGACCAACCGACCAGCAAGGAACAGGAGCTTCTCGCTGAGATCGACGATCTCCGGAGGCGAATTCAGGTGGTGCGTATTTCGTTCCTCTCCTTCTAAGTTGGCTGGTTCATACACTCGACATTTTTAGCAACGGAAACTCAGGAACACGTACAAGAAGGCGTTGCGAATCTCTGTCACGCGAAGAACGGCGAGCGAGAGGACGTCGAGTCGATTGAGGGGGATTCTCGAGGGCACGAATTTGCGAGCACCAAGAGAGATCGTGCGATTGTTCGAGGGTATCTCGGGAACCGATCGAGTGGAGGTTGGTGCGAATCGGACGGTCGGGTCATCGGTGGCAGGGAAGCGCGAATGGGAGACGGACAAACTTGGATACGGACGCTGGGCCGCCGTTGAATCAATCAACAAGGGACTCGGGGGTCAAATTCAGAGTTTGGCCATCGGGCCTGCAACAGAAGCAACCGCCGAAATTGGTTCTGCCAGAGACCTCGATTTAATAAAATAGAGATGAACTGGCATCTCGGTGTGTCATTTCCCTCATTCAGTAATTCAACCACCCGTCTTATCTTCTTTATATTCCGCCTGTTGTCCTTCATTTTCGCTTCGTCTCGTCTCCCCCCCTCTTGCCTCTTAACCACCAACATCTCCCTCATCTCTACTATCCACGCCCACTCCCATCCCGTATGTCCACCACCCAGTCTCAAACCCCTCCTCCAATCACAGCGTCTCCTCCACTTCCAACCACCGTTCAAGATCAGCTCCCACCCAACAGCCCGCTTTCCAAAGTTTCGAACCCACTATCACGTGAGAGTCGGACCCCCCTCGCAATTTCATCTCTGTCGCTCACCCTGCTCTTCTTCTAGCCCAATCGTCTCCGTTTAATCGCTCTCCACACTCTTCTCCGCCATGCGCGGTCACAAATGATTCCCCGGATGATTTCCAAACGAACGCGGCGTCACTTCCCGTGCCCACTCTTTCAGCTCAGCCAGACTCTACCATTCCTCCTAATGTCTACATCAACGGATTGCCCCCAAATTTCCCAGAAGAACAGTTGTACAACATGACCAAGGAGTTTGGCGCTGTCCTTAGCGTCAGGACTTTTACTAGACACGTTTCTGAACGGCCTACGTTAGTACCTTCGTTGCCAACGTCGACTGTTCGGCCCTGACTATAGTCCTTCTAGTGGTTATGGCTTCGTTTTGTTTCAGTCATTAGATTCTGCCCAGCGGTGCATTGAGACCCTCCGCAAGTACAGAAATTTGCATCCCTCCTTATCCAAGGTTGTCTCTTTCGTCCTTCCACGTCTACACTGTTGACACACCATTACAGCAAGTTCACAAGATTCCCGGAACACCTTATGCCAAGGTACAAGCGCCTGAGGTCATTACACCCTCAAAGAAAGGTAAGGTCCATCCACCCGCGCTTATCGAGCACCAAAACTCATTTGAAATCAGACTCGTTCAAGTCAAGAATGGAGCAATTTAAAGACGAGACATCGACCAACTTGTACATCGAGGGGTATGTGTCCGTTTTCGAATCCCTTGCCGAATGTTGACAATAATTCGCAGTCTTCCGCTGACCATCGATGAGCCTGTTAGTAAATTGGGCCTCACTGGTGACATTTGAACTGATGTGATGTTCGGTCAGACCTTGGCAGCCTTGATGGCACCGCACAAGATCATGAGCAGTCGACTCTTTCAAACCCGCCTCAGTCACCCTCCGCGAACAATTGCTTTTGTCAGGTATGGTCAACCTACCACATGATGCCGCCAACCTTATGCCACCCACAGACTTGAATCGCGATCCGCCGCTGAAGAAACCATTGAACGCCTTCACGGAAGGATGGTTCGTGGATGGAACGACCCTGGCTGTCGTATCTCGGTCAGGTTCGCAGACACCGCCGAACAGCGAGAACTTCGTGTAGGCATATCTTCATCCTCTTCCCGTGCTGTCCTGAACTCTATACCCAACAGCGACAAGAACGCTTGCTTCAGGGAGACCAGTCCCCCGCGCGGCTGACCATGGCACAGGCAGCATTGCTCAACATGCAAGGTTCTCAGGCATTGTCTCAACGAAACCAGCGATTTCCCGACGCAAGTTTTGGCAGCCCCAGCCCCACCCAGACGAACGCTGCCACGAATACGTACATTTCGAACCTTACACGCGAGTCTTTCGGCCGTCGCCCCGACCACCTTAATGGCGCCCGTAATAGGCGTACTGGAAGCGTTTCCACATCGGCTAGAGCGCGTAACGGATACACCCCAGCCGAAGAGCTATACCTCGCAATGCACGCACAACGTGTTCAGGCTCGTGGAGTTCCCAGCCACCTTAGCAGTAGCGAGCTGTCGTCCTCCCAGGTCAACCTTCCGGGGGTGGCTAGCGCCAACCAGATGATCGAACATGCCTCCGATTTCACGACCCCCGCATCCGAGCCATTCCTAGCGGTCCGCGATTACAGTTACGGTGGACAGGATTCTGGGGTGTACGACGCCAGGAGCCTCGCTTCTGACCTCGGTGGACTTTCTATCTCTCGATTTCAGCCTCTAGGACGATCCTCTCCAACCACAATCACTCCCCATCTGACCAGCACAAATGACCGCTTACGCCCATCTCAGGCATTCAACAACTCCTCTAATTCCTACGAAAATGTTTTTGACAACAAGAAGTTTACCGGTGGGCATGTCAGCGCGTTTAAGCCCACTGGAGCCACGAAAGGGACCGACAGTGTTTCCGACCATCGCTCGACCTATGCCGATAAACAAGACAATACGGACTCGCCGCTTGCTTCTCCTGCTTTGACTTACTCGTCCCATGGTAGAACACCCTCTACACTTAGCCCTGCGACACCGTTCTTTGGCACATTCTCTGGCGGCGAAGGATTTGAAGGTCTTCCTGCGGTGGGATCAAACTTCAAGAGCAAGGAACGCGATGTCGCAAATGTAGCGAGTTCTACGTTGGAAGGGTGTTGATCGCACTTCTTGATAATACCTACTCCTCCGCTCTCCTACCGTTATCTCCTCGTTGGTTCGCTAGCTCGTACCTTAGTCTCACCGTAGTTGTTCCTCCTTCGTAAGGACGCTTCTTATCCTTGTACTAAACCAGACACGTGTTACCCAAAGAAATGATGTGTTTTAGACCAAGTCCTCGTCCAATTTCCCCGCTGATCTTTACATTTCATCCCGGTGCACGTGAGATGCGCGTCGCGTCGTTCCCCAATTCCACATGGTTGTTCGCCTTCGCGTACAACTCCTCCAACATGATATCAAACAACTCAGCGATCCACGAGACGGTGCAGAGGCTCAACTCTGAACTTGAGAACGCCGACCTACTGCTCCTGAAATCTAAACCAAAGTTCCTCTCGAAAAAAACTCATGATGATCAGGAGTGGCCAACCTCTAATGATGGTCCTGATGCCCTCCTACCTGCTGTGTTAGCGGCCAACGTGGAGTTTCAGAAGGCGAGTGGGATCTTATACGCCTAACGCCACACGCATCTTAAAACTTGTTGCCCTCATGTTCAGAAATTCCTACGGAACCTCAAGTTCAGGTATCTCGAACAAGCTGCAAAGAAGAAGTATGTCGTTGAGATCATGAGCGAAGAGGGGCCAGCCATCTCTGCTGCGGATAACGAGGATCTGAAAGCAAAGAATGAGGAGAAGAAGAGAGCTCTAGGTGTCGTAAAGAGTAAACTGGGTGAAAAACAAAAGGACATTCGCGATCTGGCTCCGTTGGTCGAAGAAGGTCTGGCCCCCCCCCCCCCCATTTTCCCCGCTACGCGATCCTGATCCATGATCTTCTGGTTTCAGATTATGAAAAAGCCAAGACGGTCATAGCAGAGATATCCTCCCTCTCGCAACAGATCTTAGATACCCGGTTGGCACTTACGAGGTCCAAACAACGACACCCAGAACCGAGGCTGACCGTCTCTTCCGCGTCGGCTCAGCTCGATTCGCAGATTATGAAGATGCAAGAATCTGCGGACGAATTACAGGGGGTGAACGCGAAGGTGTCTGCCGTGAAGGAGGACATAAAGGCGAAGTCGAAACGGCTCGAGGCTTTACGGAGCCAGCGGGCAGAATTCGAGAAGATCCGAAGTAGCAAGGTGGACGAAGTCGAAGACCCCAGATATGCTGGGCTGTATGATTGGTATCTCAAGCTTCTGTCTCAGTCCGTGTAGTGTGAAAACTCACCCCTGGACTAGGTACACTGCCGCGATCGCTCTCCACCAGTCAATCCTCGGCTTGGAAACCTTCCGTGTGGAATCCGAGAACGAGCTACAATTGATATACAGGATAAATTCGACCCCTGAACCGCATAAGCTGAAGGTAAAACTACTGTTCATGCCAAATACGCGACAACTCGCGGACGCAGAGGTAACGGGGATCGACGAGGACTTGGGCTATCTCGTGGATTTGCACGTTCGGTCGAACGACGCCCCAGGACTGCTAGTAGCGGTTCTTGCGCGAGCTCGGGATACCAGCAACGCGCACTAGATACGATATGATGGAGTACTGTACTTTTTGTAATGGTTGAGCTGGTTTCAAATGTAATAATATACCCCACACGAGTACCCCGCCGCCGCATCATGGTCCTGAGGATCATCTACGGTCCCCCAAGTTGTGAAAACCTTAAAAGCGCGGCTGACCGATCTCCAGATCCACAAAAAGCTTGACAAGAGTGGGATTCGAACCCACGCCACGATTACCGTGATGAGAAACCCGATAAGATCAGGCAAACGATGGGGTTTTAACCCCTTTCGCTTGAGTCACACGCCTTGGACCGCTCGGCCATCTTGCCTACGCAGGAAGGGGGGAAAAAGATAATATACAGCCTGTGAGAAAGGGAGACCTGTCAAACATGGCAAAGCGGTGCCCGCCCATCCAGCAACGACCTCCAACTTGTCTTACCATGCTTCGCCCAGGTCTACAATCGCCGGCTGCCCTGTAAGGGCGAGCGTAATCTACCCCTGTATTACTGAGGTGCGTTCGTATGAAGAAAAGCTTATAGAAGCAGTTTTCCAGCCCATCGGGGAATCGGAATGCACTCCCGCACGTTTTCGATACCAGTCATCCACCCGATCAGCCTCTCGAACCCAAGTCCATATCCCCCATGAGGGGCCCCACCGTACATACGCAGGTCTCTATACCAAGAATAATCTCGCTTATTCAACCCATGATGCTCTATCGCCTTGTCCAAAAGGTCAACCCGTTCCTCCCTTAATGACCCACCAACGAGTTCCCCAAGGTGGGGCATGAGAAGGTCAAAGCAGGCAACCGTTTTCCCATCATCGTTGGCTCGCATGTAGAAAGGTTTCAGAACAGATGGGTAATCGGTGACGAAAACGGGGCCCTTGACGACCTGATCCGCTAGCCAGCGTTCGTGTTCGCTCTTGAGTGGTTTTCCCCAAATTGGCTCGGACTCGAATTTGGACTTGACCTTCTCTAGTTCTTTCACAGCCTCTGTATACGACATCCGGGCCCAGGGTGTCATTCCTTTGGCTTCCAGGACTCCTTGTTTTCTTTCCGCATCCCCGTTGCTCCACAGGACATCCAAGTCCCCCACCAACCCAGGGTGATTCAATATATGTTTGATGGAATCCTCGACAATGTCGCAGATATCTCCGACACGATCAACGAATCCCCATTCAGCTTCTAGCATCCAAAACTCGCTCAGGTGACGGTTTGTTTGGCTGCGTTCGGCGCGGAAACAGGGAGAAAGGGTATAAACGCGGGAAATAGCATGCGCAAAAGCCTCGAGGTGTAGTTGCGACGAAACCGTCAGGTATGCGGTCCGGTCAAAGAATTCCGTGGGAGGGAGAGATGAACCTGCCCTGTGCGCAACAGGTGACAACCTAAAGGTTTCTCCTGCACCCTCACAATCGTTGCCAGTTATGATGGGTGTATGCACGTGTGTGAACCCTTCACGCTAAAGTTCTGTCAGAGTTGCAATCACCGACGGAGAGTTCAGTCTTACCCGAAAGTAGTCATGAATGGCATCAACCGCACACTGTCTGACGCGTAGCATGGACGCGATGGAATCCACACGCAGTCGCAGGTGAACGTGGTCTCGTAAGTATTCTGTTGAGAGTACCTGCTTCTGGATTGGGTATATCTGTACGGATGGATTAGTCTGCGGTTTTCCCCTTTGCAGCGGGTCGAGGATTTCACCTCCGGATCACAGGTTCCTATAACCTCGCATTTGTCCACTTGTAACTCCTTCGCCTGACCTTTCCCTTGACTCTGCACGAGTCTGCCAGTAAGACGGACGCTACACCCGTTTGTCAGCCTGACTCGGGGTGTCAGCGAGAGACACATCCAAAAGAGAATTGCACCACGAACGTGTGTGCATCATCGGGACTTAAAACAGCCTGCAGTCCGTCCGGGCAGCTCCCGTCACTCACAGCCGCGAACGTAACTCGTTTTTGCTTTCGGACGGACTTGATATGGCCAGTTACGGAGAGTATAACCTGAGGGTCAGGTTCCTGAGCAAGGAGCTGACTGATTGTAGGCCGAAGCCTTCGTGAGGCTGTTGATGCAAAGCGACAGAAGAGCATTTCGATCACCCGCTGATGCGGGAGACCCCTACACCCGTGGTTGGGCCAATAATAATAATTGATTTTTGAGGATGGAGTTCTGCGTAAGACGGAGAGGGACAGTAGTTAAGGATACATTATAGTACTGGTCGAGTGCAGATGCAGAAGGGTAGTCAACAAGTAGAGAAGACAACAGACGGATGAGGACGAAGACATACACGACAATTTGACATGGATATAGAGTGTATTCGGATACGCTTCAAAGCGGGATAAATGCGTTACAAAGGTCAAGCGGAAACGCTGCCTTGGAGAGAGAAAGAGGGATTGAAAAATACAAGGGTCCCCTACCACAGCGATATGGCGAATTAGGCCCAAATAACCCTAACACCCTTACTCCTCCATATTGAATAAGTCGTCGATATCTGCGGTAGCAGGTTTGCTGAGAGGACTCAACAGGCCAATGCCATTTGCAAACCCACGTGAGCTGGGAATACGGTTGCTCGTGGAATAGGGGCCAGCCGAAATTCGTGAGGTGGCAGACGAATAAGACAGTCGAGTGACCGCGGCGTCAAGGTTGCCGCCGCTCCTGGGGCTCGACGACATATCTCCCCAGTCACTACCGATAGCACCGAATCCAGATGACTTTGGTGGACTGAAAGCATTTGGAGTGGTGGGGGACATGGTGGGAGGAAGTGCGTGTATCCTCGAGTAACCCGCTGCCAAACCTTGTGGCAAGCTTTGACCCGGTTCATGGGACTGAAGGGCGCGAGTAGAGGGCGAGACTATCATATTCTCGTCCTCCCTACCCTCTCCACGGAACCCAGGAATGGGTCTGCCGGAAACATCGTTTGTGGTGTAAGGTTCGTGGTGCGCAAGATCATACATCTGGTTCGAAAGGGCGGATGTTCGCGAAGGAGAGAGGGCGGAACCGTTGAGACCAGCGGAATATGACAAGGGGGGGTTATTGGAAGCACTATACGGATTCGGGTGCAGCACCGAAGGGGGACGAAGGGCGGTACGCTGCGGTGGTCCCTTATTGCCGAGATACCTGTGCATGCCGGGTAAAAATGCAGCGGACGCGTTCGAGGGGGCAAGTACGTCCTCCAGGGCAGGACCGCCGAATGTAGAGTTGGATGTGAAGGAGCTCGGCGTGCCATTCCCCAATCCACCGCCTAATCCAGTCCGTTGGTCCGGCGATGCAGCGATGCCAGGCTCCGCCCAGATTGAACGGATTTCGCTAAGGAGAGAAGGCGCTGGAACGGATCTGGAATAATGGTGGTGGGGCTCTGAGGGGCGCTGAAGACCCTCACCATCGACTTTGGAACGGGACGTCCGCCTGAACCTTTCCTCGGGGGTAAGCAAGTATGTCAACGATCCAGGAACCAGATCTTGCTCTTCCACCGCGGATCCCTCCAAGGAATCCGTCCTCAACACGATGGGTCTCTGGGAGGAAGACAACACTTCACTCGCGAAGGTTTTGTTCGCTCCGAGTGAAGACGCGAGTCCAGCCCGAGACCTAAAATCCAGGGGATCTTGAGTACGGTCATATGGGGCGAAAGTTGTCTGATGACCGGGAGCAGAGAACGGAGAGGAGGAGAGTAGTCCAAGGCCTTTGGAAGGAGAAGTTCCGGGGGAAAAGTTGTGGAGGGGTCCGTGGTTTCTTGGGGATACCGACGTGGGGGTGGATCCAATGGCGCCAAACTCATTGACCTTGGGGGATGTGGGCTTGGCAACCCTCCTCGGGGCAGAAGGAATGATAACGTGGGGAGGGGATGGTGATTTAGTTTCCACCGTGATTTCCTTGGATTCCTCAGATACTACATCTACATCTTTTCCTTTGGTGGTTCCCTGAGCGTCGCCTTTGGAGGGAGATCTTCCGCGGGCAGGGGCAGAAGAAAGTTCCTCGTCCTCATCTGGCAAACCAGAGAGCGTGAAATCGATGTCTTTAACGGGAGGTGCGGGGGCGGAAGGAGAAATTGTTGCCTTGAATGGCGAGGGGCGAGAACCATTACCGAGCACACGTGTGGGTGCAGTGGACCCGGATAGCAGAGCATTTCTGCCCTCGTTTCCGTTCAGTCCAGAAGATTTGGACTTCTTCGTGCGACCCCCATCTCGACCTTGATTTGAGGCGTTAGCTTGTTGCTGAGCTGCCTTCCTGTTCTTTCGATCCATGGACATGCTTTGGCCAGGAAGGATGTGCGCGAGGGCGCATTTGTGCCCAAACTTACAGTTACCCTTCACGAAGTAGTTACAGACACCTTTCTGACCGGACTCTACAGTGGAGTGGGAGAAGGGACAGGCGGATCCTGCGGTGCATGACCCAACCTTGAAAAATTTGCAAGGTACGTGCGAAAGATCTTTGCCTAAGGTTTCATACCGCGTGTTAGCTGGGGCAGAAGAGAAGTCAGTGGGTGGGTGGGGTTATACCTTTAGTCGACGTTGTTTTGGGTTTGTTGCTTCGTTCTCTCCCTGTTTCTTCGCTATCGTCGCCACGGTAGGAGTTGTTGGCTTGGTTTTCTGCCTTTGTTGGGCTGGACATTGGGATGAGGACCGAACAAAGGGGAAGGGCAATGACGAGGACGAGAACGAAGGGGGGAGGAAAAAAATAAGCAGCAGATGGGGGAGATCTATCCGTGTTAGGCGAGGTCGAGTTGTTAACCAAACAGGCTTTGCAGCGGCCCGAGGATAACTTACAAAGATAAGAAAAGTCTTGTATGTTATTAGAAATATTTGTTTACGACTTTGAAAATAATGATAATAATTGAAGACAAACAATTCGACTCACGTCAATCTCAGCCACTTTCAGCCACTCTGACTGACGACCACATACGCTGCCTGCACGACATGGACGAGCGTTTGGCAAGCTTCATGCCCAGTGGCACCAACTACCAGGTATTAGATGTTATTGGTGAGGGTGCATACGGCATCGTCTGGTGCGTGCTCTGCGGTTTGTTCGCCGTGTATTCATGTTTATCGACCATGGGCAGTTCCGCCGTACACATACCCACCCAAAGAAAGGTCGCGATCAAGCGTATCACACCCTTTGATCACTCTATGTTCTGCCTGAGGACGTTGCGCGAGATAAAGTTGTTGCGTCACTTCCATCACGAGAACATCATCTCTATCCTCGACATTTTGAGACCCCCCAGTCTCGATGAGTTCAAGGAGGTTTACCTTGTGCAGGAACTCATGGAGACGGATCTGCATCGCGTGATACGAACCCAAGAACTTAGCGATGACCACTGTCAATATTTTATCTATCAAG